TATATATATATGCAGCATACAATATATTTTTTATTAAAATATAAATTCATAATATTATTCATTAGAATGCAAACAATTATGATTGTTTTTAGTATTACATAAATAAGCACTTTCTTTCTTTTTAAATCCCAAAAATAATATATAGGACTTGTTCTTCTTGTCCCTTCCTATGATTTGGACTTATTGCTGCCTGCTTCCGAAGCGAATAATTCTTGACACAGTGTCATGCGGTCGTCGCTTTATATAACGAGTACCGATTAGCTCGTACCAGGCGGAGACGGTCTGTCATTACACAAGAAGGGGAGAGAAAGAGAGAGAGAGAGAGAGAGAGAGAGAGAGAGAGGAAAAGAGAGAGAGAGATAGAAAAGAGAGACGATATCAGAAATACGATTCCAGAAAATGAAGAAGCAAAGACAGCAGATGAGTCAATATGCATGTGAAGAAGAATCGAGGAAGGTCGAAGGTAAGGAGAGGCTGGGAACGAAAGAGATCGCGTTCGACTTTCGCTTTAAAGCGGAAAGTTTTTAACATGACAGGAGCACACGCTCGTGTCGCTTACCAGCGCGATCAGCAGGATATAGTCGTGTCTGAATTGCATTTATGCTCGAGTACCTTGCTCGAAACATTAAGATGCACCGCCTTAAAACGGTAACGATAGGATTAAATGCATACCGACGCGATGCGGTGCATCCATTATTATGAAGAAGCGTTATTATGAAGAAAAAACCTGGGAATATATAAGATGATTCATTGAAATCCCGCAGTGTTTAGCACGTTTTGTTTATTAAAGTATACTATTGTAATTAAAATAAATCATTTAACACCTTAACAATTATACATAATTAATTGTAATCAAGTTAATTATACTAATATAATTACTATAATACAATTTTAATGAAAGTTGTTTATTTAATTTTAACATAAAATTAATTAAAATCAATTTAATTAATTTTAATATAATTATTACAATTTTGCCCATTTTCTTTGTTCGATCTTACTGCTTCTCTCGTATACACATTCTAATCCAAATCTCTCGAAATAATTTTTCCTTCGTCTTTTAATTCCTGCAAATCTTCGGTACATTGTTATTGAAGATATTGCGAAGTGTGAATAATCCAAACACGTATCGCAATTGACACAACAATGAAGGTAGGATTAATTGAACGACACATTAAATTATATAGCAAACAAGTTGCCATAAATTAAGATGCAAGATAAAGAGATAATTTCTCGAGTTTAATGATCGTAAATTTGCGGGTTGCTCTCTGCCAGTGAACTTACCGCACGAAATCAGTATTTAGGATGACGCAGAAAACTACTCTCACCGAAGTAATCCTCTTCCTCACTGTCGATCTCGCACAACCGTGGACTCTCGGAACAGGCGGCTTAATACAAGCACTTAACCGGTCCAGCGAGAATCAGTTTTCGTCTGCGACTTGACATGATCACGATGAGCGTAAACATCGTAAACGTTACGCTATAACTTTATGTTTTAATGCGTTTGCAAATGATTCAAAGAGATTTTAACACCTGGTACTTTATATCTCTCTGATTTTTCTATGCATTACCGATGATTTAGATGTAGAAACTTCACTCTAGTCAGCAATATCTTAAATTTACTTTTTATTCTTTATTTTTATCACAAGAACGGCGATGTTTGAAAGCTCGAAAGTTTGATAAGTTTTTCAAGGTAAGAAATAAACAACTAATCGTAATGATTCGTTTATAAAAATAATCTGTCACGTACCCGTGATTCATGCTACAGGTTATACTCTACGCTTAAGGTAGTATTCCGTTGCATTCAATCTTTGCTCGCACACAGAGTGCGTACAAACTGTGGAAAATAAGGCGTTATTAATCAAATAGCGAAAATGGTTTTGATATTCATTCGCAGCCCCCATAGTGTAGATAATCAATTTCCTTTGCAATGCGCGATCAAATAAACGTAGGAAGTTCAAGTACCGGTATAGATGGATGGAAATCGAGGTCGACTACTGGTATGTACGAAGCTGATTGGAAGCAGAAATACATCATTCGCTTAAAGCAACTAGCTCGTCCACGGTAGCGAAGAAATGTATCGGCCCAAAAGCAGAAGAGATTAAGGCCCAGTTGCTTCAACGTTACTTTAAACGAGACATT